CCAACTTCAGCCCCCGCGCTGCGCCCCCCTTCCCTGGCCGGGCTCGATTGGCCGCTTCCTGAGCTGTCAGACTTGACTCCCGCGCTCTTATTGGGCGATTCTCTGGCCGGGCGGCAGTGCCAAAGGAGGGCGCACCGGGCTGGGGGCGCCCCGGCCGCGACTGCCGCTGGGAGCGGGAGACCAGAGTCCCCGGAGGGACCGGAGAGCCAGACCCGGAAATGGACGGGGGAGATGGAGAAATTGAGGATTTCTGAGACGCAGGAGGACGGTGACGGAAAAGATGGAGATGCAGTGGGTGAGGCTGATGCAGCCAGGGCGGGGCGGACAGGAACGCTTTGGTGGGTAGTTTCTGAGAGAGAGCCCTTCAGACAGCGCTAGGAACACCTGGCGTTTGTGAAGAGTTTTTGCCTGTTCACACATTTAAAAAATCTCGTTTGGTTTCCCTCAGTAGCCCTGGGATGTGACAGAGACCAGGAGGCATGTGACTATTCCCGATTTATAGATCCGAAACTGAGGCTTCAGGAGTGTCATCAACTTGCCATGGCCACACGAGTTCTCTAACTTGCGACCGAAAGATCTCCCATCAGCACCAAACTGCCTCCCCTACGTAGCAAGCTGGTAACCCGGAGCAAAGCCGGGTTCCCGCTGGACAACGAAAGACCAGATACTCCTGCCCAGCACTAGTCACAAAGAGGCAGGAGTGGAGAAAAGGACTTACTGCGGATCAAGGAGGATCTTGGTCTGTGGAAGATGTACCTACCCAATTCCCCTTGCCCCTAGGCTGTTCTAGTGGAAATTCTGTCAGTCCAAACAGTGGGAGGGGTAGGAGACCACACCTCTACTGGAGAGAGAAACAACCTTCACTTTGGTCTTCTTCCTCCAGCTCTCTCTGCAGAGCTTCTGACAAGGAGCCTGGAGTCTGAATGATCTTCCCTTTCTCTCTCTCTCTCCCTCTCTCTGTTGGTCATCTCTTTGCAGATTGCAAGATAAGCCTTGCCAGAGTTACAAATTGGGAGGAGAAACATTTGGAGAGATCTGAATAAGATAACCCTTGAGTAATTCAGCCTTTGAATAATCAATCCATGGTTAACTAAGTCGTAAAAAAGCAGCATGAAATTTAGTCAACAAACATTTGCAGAGCACTGCTATGTGCAAAAAGCACTGTGCTAGGTGATCCAGGGATAAAGAGATGACCTAACTCTGGTTACAATCAGGGAGGGAGAGGAGCTGGCCACTAACTTCGGTTTAGAGCTCCAGTTCAGTCATTTTGGGAATTGAGAGAGGGGGAGAAGGGGAATTACTTCCCATTGTGAAGGGGAAAAAAAAAAAAAAGACTGGAGGGGTGTCTGGGTGTCTTCGTTGATTAAGCATCCAGCACTTGATTTCGTCTCAGGGCATGATCTCACAGTTTGCGAGTTCAAGCCCCACATCGGGCTCAGCACTGACAGTGTGAAACCTGCTTGGTTTTCTGTCTCTCCCTCTCTCTCAAAAAATAAATAAACTTTTAAAAATGTTTTTTAAAAAGACTCTGGAGGCGAATCTGGGGCTAGCAGAGGGATAAGTAAGAAGAAAGGAAGAATGGACTGATGTTTAGTAAGCAACTACTACATATCTCTAAATATCAATAAACATTTTGAGGAAGACATTATTCTCCCCACTGTAAAGATGAGAAAACTGTGACTTAGAGAAATCAAGGCCCGTAGTCTGTAGCAGAATGGAACCTAAGTACAGCCTGCCCCTTATGCTCTACCTCACTTCCTGCAGCATATATGGTATGAGAGACGCCCAGAGAGGCAAGTGCATGGACCGAAGCCAAATGGCCAGAGGTATCAAGGTGATTGGCTTCCGTCCTTGATCCTCTTATTCTCTGAAGCTCTCCCTAGTTCATTCCTTTGCATTTTATTCAAATGTTTAAAAATAACCATCATCTTACCAAAAGAGCTATGTATGGTTAAAAGTAGAAAAACTAACCCCCCCCAAAAAGACAAAGCAAACAAAACACATTCATAATCATACCATGTAGAGAGAACCATTAACATCTTAATTTTTTCCTTAACAAAAAATAGGGCTTTTACTGTGCAAATAGTTTTAGAATCTGCATTTTTCTACTTAGCTAAATACTGTGCTAAATATTGCATTTTTCATATTGGCAAGCATTCATCTATAATATCCATTTTATTGTCCAAACAGAATTCCATTGCATGAAAACAGCATAATTTAGCCAATCCCCTACTGTTGGACATTTTTCACTGTCACAACAGTTTATAAAAAGTTTCCACTCTTCTACTGTTATAAACAATGAGCATTTTTGCAGAGAAATCTTCACACCCATCTTTATATCCTTAGGAGAAATTCCTACAAGTAGAATTGCTGGGTCAGAGGATAAACATTTTTTTCCTTAAGGTATTTCTGAAATTCTTATCTTCAGCCCCTGCGTCCCTTGCCTATTCCAAGCTTAGCCCTGTCCACTGGAGAGCTCCCTGTGGATGCTCCTTGGTACCCACCAGGGGCAGATTCAGTTTGTTTAAAAGGTCAGGGAGTCTCCTAAAAAGTCTGCTCACCCTGTTTTTTCACCACTTGTGGAATGACCATCCCCCAATCTCCCTGGTCTTGGAGTGGCGAACCCTCCTCGATCCCTGTCCCTGTCCCAGAGTCCTGCTGCCCTACCCTCATCGTTACACATCTGTCTCCTTCCACATTCTCTAGCTACTATCTTCACCCACATCCTCCCTGCTCCTCGCCTGAACCATCTCCAGCTCTCTTCTTCCTCCATCCTGCTTGCCCTCAATCTGTCTTCCACTTTGTCCCCCACTTTGATCATGCCTGTCACACCCCCTAACTGAAAATTGTCCACGAAACAGCCTCTTCCTACCTGCCTGCTTTCACTGCCAACCACTTCCCCATGTCATCCAACCACCCTGAGTTGCTCCTTAAGCCTCTGTAAAGATCACCTTTTCTACTCTGCACAAATAGCATTTATGGTACCTCTGTGAAACTCTCTCCAGTGCCTCACCCAGGCTGTTAGGCACTCCCTCCTCCTCAGCTCCCAGCACACCTTGCTTTTATCTCTATTATAGCACTTGTCACATTGTATCATCTTAAGTTGTTTTCAGAACTGTCTCCACTGTCAGCTGAACTCCTTGAGGGCAGAGTTGGTATCTTATTCTTGTGCCCCGTGCTTAGCCGGGTGTCTGGCACAGAGGAGGCGCCCCATAACTGTTGTTGGTAAACAAATGGTACATCTGAGGAATAGGGAGCGGAATGGAGTCTTCTGCAGGGGAGGGCAGGTTGCAACTGGCAACAGTGGATGAAGATGGAGAGGTGGGTTGGATTCTTGAATGCCTTGCAGAGGGAAGGTGGGCTTCAGTTTAATGAGCCCCGGAATTTGGGGACAAGAGTGTTCTGACCCATTATGTTTCAGGAGGCAAACTCTGGCAATGATGTAACTACACTGGGAAAACAAGATCCAAGAGCTTAGGGGCCCAGTAAGGAAACGATTGCACAGCACAGGTAGACTGAGCCCCGAAGTGATATGATGGGAGTGAGGTGCTGGTTGGCAGATACCTGTGGAGGGCTGAAACCCAGGGGTCAACCCCTATGAACAGGAGGAGTCCTTAAGGTCAGAAGAAAACCGAGAGAGGAACAAAAGGCAAAGGTTTTGATGACCACTCCCAGGATGTGCACTCGGCTGTTGTCATCAGAGAGGGGCTGACCCAACGCCACTTTCTGAAATGAGTACTTGGTTTGTAGAGGTGAGGTGACCACACATCTTGGGGCACTGCAGCTCCTTCAGGAGATCTGCTGACACCCCCTCCTCCCTCCAACCATCTTCTCCTTTGTGCCTCAGTGACCCTTTAGGATTTCGTTCTTCACTCTCCCAGGTTTCTTTCTGGAAGAATATTTCTGTTTTGGACATTAGAATATTCATATTTTAGAATAGTTGGAAATATTTGTAGAAGTGGGTATTAGTCAGACTCCCCTACCTAAAAACACCTTCCC